GAAGAGCTGAGGGACAGCGCCCAGGCCCAGAGTTCAAGCCCCACGACCGACAAAAAAAAAAAGAATGAAGTTCAAAGCCAGGCTGGTTAGACAAATCAGACTCTTATTTCCAATTAACCAGTTAAAAAGACAGAGTGGAGGTGTGGCTCAGGTGGTAGAGTGTCAGCTTTCAGTGAAAAAGTCAAGCAATAATAAAAGACCTGAGTTCAAGCCCCATACTTGTACAAACACACTGTTATTATAAAGACCCTAACATACTTTCAAAAAATCCATAATTAGAGAAGTCAATTATAGTAAACATATATGAATACTGTAAGGAAGTGATAAATGTTTTGCACAATTATATTTGTCATAGCTTAATGTAAAAAGTGAAACTTTTTTTGGGTACATGTTTGTGGTGTTAGGGCTTCGCACATACTAGCCAAGTTCTCTATTGAGCTACAACCTTAGTCCTTAATTCAATTGTACCACTATTAGTTAAAAAGGCCGTCCTTTCTCCATTGAACTGACCCTGAGCCTCTTTTAAAAGTTATCTATCATGGGGCTGGGAAGGTGGCTCAGTGGTAGAGCGCTTACCTTGCATGCCTGAGGCCCTGGGTTCGATTCCTCAGCACCACATAAGCAAAAAGAAAAGCTAGAAGTGGCGCTGTGGCTCAAGTGGTAGAGCACTAGCCTTGAGCTCAAGAGCTGAGGTACAGCGCCCAGGCCCAGAGTTCAGGCCCCATGACTGGACCAAAAAAAAAAAAAAAGTTATCTATCATGGTCAGGAACTGGTAGTTCATGCCTGTAATCATAGCTCCTCAGGAGACTAAGATCTGTGGACTGCCGTTCACAGACATCTTGCAAAGGAAAGTTCATAAAATTCTTATCTCCACAATTAACCAACACAAGTCCAGAAGTAGAGGTGTGGCTCAAGTGGTAGAGCACCAACCTTGAGGAAAAATGTTAAGCAAGAGCACCTAAACTCTGATTTCAAGTCCCAATATGACCCACAAAAAACTATGCATACACTTTAAATGGAAGCATTTTATTACCAGTATATTTTTCTCAATAATATTAATTACAAGAAATTAAAAGATCATGTATTAATTACAAAAAATTGAAAGACCATGAGGTACTTTATCAAATGTTGAGAGAATGATTTCAGGGGCACAAACTGTTAGAAAGAGTAAGAACTACTGTCAAGTGCTTACCAATTTAACAAACAAACAAACCTGCCTATGGAAAAATAATTATTTAAATTTTAGGTACAGAAAAATCCTAACGACAAAAAATATGAACATATACC